AACCGCTCTAATAAAAGTACCCCGCCGCCACCACTTGTGGAGCACATGTTATATAGAGTGCTGACTTATCCTGCCTTATATAAGAAAAAAACAAAGGAATCAGGTAAGAGTAGGTTTGAATGGGATTGTCCTTTTCTGTGCACTGGTGTGAGACTGTGTCATTAGCTGGCAACACATTGATCAGGAAAAGACAAATACAAGCAGTCCTCAACACAACTCTTTGACTTACGACAAACAACACTTACGACCTTTGTGAATGACGACACTGTTTCAAGGTTTAGACAGGGTTTCAACTTTATGACACTGGACACAGCTGCCTCCAGCTGGTAAGTGTGTTGTGGTGGGGCGTGGGGGGTGCAGATCAATGCCCCTGCAGCAAGTGAGGGATTGGGGCTGTGGCTGAGACAGGGAATGCCCAGGGAAAAGGGGGGCACGGGGAGGGGGAGGGAGGCTTCCGCCGCTCCGCACCGCTGGTCTGGGAGGGAATGGGGGGAGCATGTGCCCCCAGATCTGCGCAGGGCGGGCGGGGCCAGGGCTGTGTCAGGCTGCACTCTGAGCTGGCGGCAGAAGGCGCTGAGAGTGGGAGCTATGCCCTCCTGCTGCTCACCCAGCCAAGTGGAGCAGAATCAGGGCATGGGTGAGGCGTGCGCCCCTGAATCTGCATGGGGCGGCCAGGGTTAGGGCTGTATCAGGCTGCACTACAGGCGGGCTGTGTGGGCTATGGGGAATTTTAGGGGGGCTGGCACCCCCGCAGGGCAGGGCGGGGCAAAGCCACAGCTCGTCCAGGAGGCATGGGGAGGCCAGGGCGGCTATGGCTGCTGTGCGCCACTTGTTTATAGGCAACGCAGTGGCTCCACCCCGCCCCAGCTGGGCGAGTGGCAGGAGGGCATAGCTCCCGCTCTTAGCACCTTCTACCTTCCATCCTGAGTGCAGCTCGGCACAGCCCTGCCCCTGCCTGCCCCATGCAGATCCGGGGGCACGTGTCTCCCCCTCCATGCCCTCCCAGACCAGCGGCAGAAGCAGCAGTGAGAGCCGCTGGATGAGCTGCCAGATGAACAGCTCCCAGACTGGTGGCCCACAGCAGTGGGAGATTCCCACCCCCTCCCCGTGT